TCTATATATATATATAGATAGATATATATATATCTATATCTATATATAGATATATATCTATATATATAGATATATATCTATATATATAGATATATATAGATATATATATCTTGTGTGAATGAATACTTATTAAAGTAAGAACTTTTGTGCAAAATAATCAGATCTTCTAAAAATGTCAGTTAGTATACTATTATCAATTAGGACAATGTTATGATGTATTGTGATATCTCCAGACATGCTTCCATTGAGAGATGATAAATGACGCTGAAACATAAAGGCGGTGACTCACTTGCGATCCTCCCCTCCGGCGACGACGATACACTCCGAGTAACCTCGGGGTTTGAAGGCGGCGAGCATGGCCTCGCCCTGCAGCGCGCCGCCAGCCACCACCTGCTGGCAGTACTCTCTGATCACCTCCCTCATCAGCGGCTCCCCCATGGCCTGATGGGATACCATGCAGCACACAACTACTGAGTTAGCCCAGGAGAGTTTGGCCTCAGAAGAGGCCTATGCAACGTGAAGCACTTGGCTAGACGTTCACTTCACCACAAGTTGTTGCGCTGTGGATCAGACTATGAAGCATACATTGTAATCTGGACGGCACTTCACAGCTCCCCTACCTGCTCCCTCAGGTAGCTCACGTCCAGGCCCTGCAGCCATACTGCAGACATCACCTCCGTCATGTGGACCTGCAAATACAGATGCAAGACTGGAGGACTCCCTTTTTTTGGCTTATGGAACAAACAAAGCTTGCAGCACTTGAAGCCAAATAAACGGTCTGGAAACATAACACTGACATATCACCATCTTATAAAAAGTTACTATAGTGAAAAAGTTGCCTATTTCCACATCTGGCAGACACACATTAGCATTCATATGCAAAAGTACAATATTGATTCTGCTACATGTTCAGGCATTAAACAATAAGCTGAAAGACACTCAAATGAAACTGCTAAATTGGCAATAATTCTCTGTGGGTTTGACATTTCGAGCGGAGCCTATTATGTCCCCCGCAGTCCATTAATATGAAAACCTTGATTAGAGCAGCTTGAACAATGCAATACGGTTTTGCCGTAAGGCATGCCGTGTTAGTTCAGAGGGAAGCTATAACGTGTTCCTCTAGTGTTTACTTATCGTCCCAGCAGCAATTGGTTTACATTCGTTTTCATTCCTACAAAAATCAATAATTTGACTCTTGATATTTGTAGTGTGTAGTGTGACCGATCATTGTGGACGATAACTCAAGACCGATCTCTTGCCACTGTTTCATTAGCAGCTTAAGTGCAGCTGGATGTTCATACAGCGCAGGATGAATATTCTAAACAGTAATATTCTAATGCGTTGAACATAACCTGTCTTATCTTCACACTGAACCTGAGGTAAGCATCACCCACCTTGCGCTCCACCGGGTCATGTGCGTACCACCGCACCACAGCCTCCAGCACGTGCTTCTCGTTGCCCACGTTCAGCTTCTCCATGGCCAGCAGTTCGCAGAGCCGGCTCGGGGGCAACTCCCTGAACTCCTCGGTGCGCGCCACGTCGCCGAAGTGCGTCTGCAGGAACTCGGTGGCGGCATAGTGGACGTGGTGAAGGCAGTAGTGCAGAGAGAAGAGGCGGATGCCGATGCAGTTCTCTGCGGCGATGCAGCTCTCTAAGAACTGGCAGCACAGGTTCTTGAGGTCGGTCATGAGGAGCATGTCGGACGCCTGCACCATGTCCTGGATGGTCTCCTCGCTCAAAGTGATCTGTGTGTGAAGGACGGGCCAAATGGATATCCACAACAACATATAAAGGAGAGGCGGCACACATTTACTTAAAAGCACAAGGATGTCACTAAAGCCTCCATGCTTACGTCACCGCTGAAGATGTAGTCCAGGATCTGCTTCATGATGGCCATGGAGACCCCCTGCAGCTCGATTCTGTATGTAGACCCATCTTCCTTTGGGGGATTGTAGTTCAGCTTGGTCCTAACAGGGAACCATCACCACAACTGAATATGGATGCCCTTCCAACACAGGCATTGTGCCAGTGGACACGCCCATGTTGCTGAGACATGGCAAACATCAGGAGAAGAGCTGTGAGCTGGTATGGTCGCTGGTGGGACTGACCTGACATAAGGGCTGGCAGCGGCCAGGATGTTCTTCTGGACAGCCAGCTCCTCTCCATCCACCACCAGCAGCGCGTCGTGGAAACTTTGCTCTTGCCAGAAGGTGCGAAGGACCCGGAGGAGTTTCTGGGAATGTTGTGGGTCCGAAACCCTGGAACCGCTTTCGCTCGATACAGAATCGGGCATGTCTAGGCTTTCACTGTACACACATGAACATGGGGACACTCTTCAATTCGGCTCTCACAATAGAAACTTGTAAGAAACCGGTCCTTCAGCATTCGCTCCGTAGGCTGTTCCTCTAACTGATGCTGAACAGGCGTGCTGTGTCTGTGGCTAGGCTAGTAACTTAGCACAAGCAGCTCCTATGTCAAAGACGATGCGATGTCGCTGACACATGACGTACAATGAAGCCGTGGAAGAGGTAACTTAGCTAACTTAGTCGTCGTGTGTGGTTAGTCAAATCAACGCACTGTCAAATGGGCTAAAGCTACAAACACACGCACGTAGGCTTGAGCCCCAGCACTGCATATGTGGTGGTCCAAACTTGTTATGTCATGTTTTTTTTTTCCTTTTGACAATTCGAGTTTCGGTTTTTTACGTGACTTACCTTGAAACTACGGAGTGCGCTTCTCTCTTTCTATGGGCATAGGCTGCACCTAACCCTCAGCCTCAGCACAACACGAAGCACACTACAACAGAATGTGGCAACTGGACGTGAAAACATGTATCGTGCTGCGTTCAAGGTAAAAGGAAAGATGGAGAATACGACACACCCATTATTTTGGGCTACCCATCTTTCCAAATAAATATAAACGATAAACAAACAGAGTCATACAAGAAGCAGAAAAACAACCGATTAGTTACATAGATTTAAATAAGTTGCGTAAGAAAACACATTGTATGATCACAGCCGTGATGTTGTAGAATTCATGTGGCACCTGAATGCAGCATCAGCGAGACAAGGCGCGTGCGGATAAACAACGTCCCAATACTTCAATGGCAACCTTCGTACCAACGGAATTGCGGATCAATTGGTGATGCAACAGACATTACATACATTATATGAATATATTTTTAGGAATTTGTTTTAAACTAACACAAATAAAAACCTCTCGCTGAGTCGCTGTCTAGATTTCGAAATGTCTCAACCAAGTTAGAAGAAAAACCAAAACCAACCCACACTGCCAGCACAAAGCTACCGAGAATAACGCTACCACCAGTATTTCCGGTGTGAATAAAACATTTTAAACCAACTAGTATAGTGTTAGTACACTTTTTATTAGTGTAAATTAGCACGTGGTGATGAATTAGAACATATTCATTTCACTGAGTGTAATAGTGATCGTATTGGTACATACAACAATACATAGAATAAACTCGTCTTCATTCTAGCCACCGCTATCTCTCGCCAACTTGACACAACTCTCGCCGCCATAACTTTGGACAAACGTAGATATTATTATGCTACGCGCAGGATTACTCAAAGGTAATAGCGCTGACTGCTATGGCGCTATGCTAGCTACGAGAGGATCGTGCAACATACAAGGTTCGTTTGTTGTTATTGTGCAACACAGGGTAGCACAACGAAATGCAGTTTGTAGTCCAATCCGCTACGTAAGAAAAACACAACAAAGTAAGAACTACATTATATGGTGGAGGAGGGATGTAGGGGTCACTGCTTCAGGAAAGATCACTGTGATGTCAGTGATTAAGCTCTAACTTCTTATACATTATATTTAATAACGGCTCATAGATGTTGTGTCTCTTGTCTCCAGCTCTCGTGGTGATGTTGTGATGGAGGAACCAATGAGCATCGTAAACGTTTGCCCGACGGAACATAACTGGAGACTCGCAGTTTGAAGGTACCAGCATGCCTGGACCCGCTCAGAGCAGACTGTCTCCGTGGATAGAGAGTCTGATCCTGAGCTATGGCAGTCAGGAGGAGAGCGGCAGCGGGCGGCTGAAGGCCCATGTCATCGGGGTGGGTCACATGTCTCAGTCCCAGGCTCTTGGCTCTGAGGGCCCCACGGGGCTCCTCTTCCTGTCAGACGGACTGCTCCAGATCCCTGCCATCCTCACTGCGTCAGCCTGGGAGCACCTTCAGGAGCAGGAGGACCGCGAGTGTTTCACCAGCCTGGTCAACACTACGGTGTGCATCCGGGACTACCGGCTGCAGTTCCACATGGCCCTGGAACAGACCAGAAGCAGATTCGTCTTATCAGTCGGGGAGCTGGCCACGACCTCGGCCGGGCCGGTTAAAGCCGGCACTCCTTGCAGCACGACGCTGCCCTCCATCAGGATGAAGATCTGCAAGACGTGGAGGGCCCTGCTGGGTCAGGAGACGCAGGACTCCCAGTGTGGGTTAGATCTGTCGGAGCTGCTGGGAGAGTGGCAGCACGACTGCCTGCAGGCCGTGCTGGAGGACGTCAGGGAGAAGCTGACGGCAGCGAGCCCACGGCCCTCCACCTCTACTTGCGACCCGTCGGCGACCCACACTGACACATTCGCCGCCACAAGCTGGAGTGTCGACAGGGTCAGATATAAGGGAGTGAAAGGTTTCAGTGTCCCCATGAAGTGTCTTCTCATCGCGGAGGAAGACGCTCAGCAGATGCAAACGCCTCCGATTGTCGGAAGCAGGACAGCGAGTGGACTTTCTGAGGACAGAGAGAGAGACTCGCCTCCACCTTCAGAGACCACGCCGCCTTCTGTTGACGACGCAGAAGTTGTAGAGAGCGATCAAGGTGGCAATCAGACTTCGCCGTGTCCCGTGGAGGACAGCATGCAACAAGAGGACGCTGTCTCTTTGATCGATGTCGACAGCCAGCTTTTATCCAACTACTGGGACAAGTTTCCTCCACCATTGGTCACTTCATCCTGTGATGCGTCTCCGACACAGAGCCCATCGCTGCACCAGCCCGCTGCTCCAGACTTCAGGTCTGATCCCTCTGTGATCTCAACCAGCATGCAGCTTCCTGTCCACAGCTCCAAGGACTCCCAGCAGACATTAGAGCACAGCAACCCCCCGCCGTACCAGCAGCTCCAACACGCAGCCGCCACGGCTGCTTCTTCCACTTCTGTGAGTCCACCAGAGCCCTTCACCAGACCGTCAGACCCGTTCCCTGCCTTAGACGAACGCCACACCGACACAGATCAACCAACTCTTCCGGCTGTGGACCGAGAAAGCCAGATTTTGGAAAAAGACGCGGAGGAGGCCGTTGAGAGGAAATCAAGAAAGAGAAAGAGAAGTGAGTCGACACCAGAAGCGACGACCACCTCAGGGGAGGAGGAAGCTCAGATCAGCGGCATCCCTCCGTCCTGGCTCTTTGACACTCAGGCGGGCTCCGGGGCCGACGAGAGCAGCAGTCAGGGTGAACCTGCAGGACCCGTCTCCAGAAAGACACCCACCGTTCACAGCGACGGCCGGCGCTTCTCCTACTCTTACCAGCTGTCGGGACAGAACCTGCAGGACTTCAGTGGGTTCACCGTGGCAGAGTCCGTAGTGCACTGGGCCGTGGGATATCTGGTTGTTCCGAAGCAGACGGAGGATCCAGTGACCTGCGATCAGACCTTGCTTTATGTTCAAGATGTTGAAGGTTAAAGTGATCTGTTACAGTCTCCTCGTAGTGTCCACTCATGCTAATGTTAACGTATAAAGATATTGGTACATGTTCACTGGGAAACGTTTGAAGCTCGTCCAGCGTAAATAAAAGAAGCAGAAAAGTTCTTTGCTGTCTTAATTCAACTAGAACAGTGAAATACTCTGAACTCAAGGACCACTCACCAGCTTTCTGTTGGTGCTTTCAGCAGAAAACTAGAAATATTCGTGGAAAGGTTGATGATCTGTTCACTGAACTTGACAGAAAATATTAAAGTTGCATTAATCATTTTTGGCAGCATGTTGGGTTTAACATCAAACAGCCTTTTGGCGCAGTAGGGCCTTATTTAGTCCATATGGTGGGAGTAATAGTTGCCTGTTTACAAACAAGCTTCATCATTATTTCATATTATTATACTTGTATGAAAGCACACAGCTTCCATCGTGTACTGGAACTAATCAGAGATCGTTTAGAGGCGTGGCCTCAGGTCACATGACTTGGACTCGAGTCACAAATGTGAAGTCTTTAGACTCAACTTGACAAAATCAAAGAAGATTTGCAACTTCAACACCAATGACTCGTGACTTCACTTGAACTTGAGCCTTTTGACTTGAAACACTTGATACCTTGATTTTAAAAAGTGTGTCGCAGACATTAACGACATTGAACTACGCAGATTTGTTCTTGTTGTCAAGTTCAGTACCAGTTCTAATAAATATATGTGTTTTAACAAAACAATATGAGACTTGAAGAACAGCGACTTGGTCACACCTCTGGTTATAACTCTTGCAATGCATGCTGGGAGTATGCCAATGTGTTAAGCAAGAATGTAGTGAACAACATTCATTTATTCAACTTATTATTTCAAGTTGCGAGACTCTTTCAGAAGAAAAGTCCGGATTAAAAGTTCTGAAACGATTCTTCTGATATGGTTTTTAAGAATTTCAGGTTATGGTGATTATTTTATTTCATGAAATTATTGATGCAAAGAAATGAGTGGATTTGACCAAATCATACAGGAGTATGATGCTGTACCTAACATACAGTATAGTATGTCTATGCAGCACCACCTGTGAGAGTGAAGCACTTCTCTGTTTGTCCAGTAGATGTCACTAAACACCTCATATTGAACTGTGATCACCAATGAGATGGAGTTTATCTGCAAACATGTGAAAACTGCCTGTGAACACCTTAATGGACACGACAATGAATATAATACAGAGGATTAAAGTCAGCCTTTAGCTAACACGCATACACACAGTGGCTGTGGTAGTAAGTAACACTACAGTGCTGCTTATTGTGACACCATCACAGAATACCAGGATGGAGAAGTTGTTGTTAAGCAGTCTGAGGGTGTGATCGAGGATCAGCGATTCTTTAACTTCACAATCATCTGCTGATGGGGACTCGGCGCTCACCTTAAATGTGTACGAGCATGATATTCATTTATCAGACGCTTTTATCCAGATTCTATCACATTTCTGAACCGTGGGCACAGCGGGAGCAAGCTTTGGGTTAAGGACACATCGACAGCCGGGGAGCGAGCCACCGATGCTCTGATTGAAGGATGGCCCTGCTCTCCACTTAGCCACAGTCGCCCAGACATCAACTAGTTTAGAAGCAACTTACACAAGTGTGATGTGGAAACACTACGCTCTGTCAGCACTGTGCCGTTGTTTGAACTGTTAGCGGTGTTAGCACAGTTAGCTGTTTATTTCAATGAGCGACTGGCTAAGTGGAGAGCAGGGCCGTCCTTCGATCCCCGGCTCTGGCTCCGCTAGTCGCATGTCGATGTGTCCTTGAGCAAGACACTTAACCCCTAAAGTGCTCCGTAGCTGAGCCTACGGTGTGATAGATTCTGAACTGTAAGTCTGCTGAATGACTGTGATGTGATGTTATTTACTCAAAACCAAACATTTTCTGAATTATGTGAGATTATTTCTCTCACTGATCATGTGATGTTAATCATGATGTACACAAGTGAGCTCTGTTAGTCGTATGGTGAATTAATGCTCTTGAATGTTGGACACAATGTTGTTATCTCACCTTAGTTTATGTGTCTTAAAGGGGACATCTCATGAACAACTCACTTCCTCAGTGCTTGTGCACACAGGTGTGTATCTGGGGTGTCTACCGACCCACACACTGTGTTTCTAGATCATCTAGAACTCCCATTCCTTAAAGAGAGTTAAAAGTGGAGACGTCACACGTCATCTCACCAGGTACAACACATTCACAGTATGATCTGGTCTGCACTTGGCAAAAGGTTCACTAGCTGGCGCACAAGTCAGGCCCAGTGCAACCAAAGAGCAGCGGATCAGACACCATTATCTCTATTCGTAACCCTCCACCCTCGCAGCTCCAGTGACACTGAGCCGTACCCCGTATCTCCAGACCGTGTCCCAGCCTTCATTCAATAGCCTCGGCAGGCTCATTACACCGCCCACGGCTGAGAACTACCTTTGCAAAGGTGCATCATATTTATCTGGTAAGCCAATCAGAGCAGAATGGGCTTAAAGAGACAGGAGCTCAAACGGAGCGTTTAAGACAGAGAGCTGATATAGGTATATTCAGACAGACAGTATGAACATTAAAGCATGTAAACATGCTCTAGTAGCAACCCAAAGTACACGTATGAACCTGAAGATGAGCACGATATGTCTCCTTTAACGGCCATAGCATTGGTCTGTAGCGTGCGGCTGATAGAGAAACGCTCTCGCATCAGTTCAATTCTAAAATGGGTCTCAAGCGATAACGATGGAAAGATCTTTCCAGCAGCTGCCCTTTGAAAATGTCAAATCCTGCTGGCTGTGGCCTGCACGCGTCTGATACTTGCATGATAGTTTAGTTTTATTTGCTAATGAATCACCGTCTGCTGAGAGACAAACAGAGAAAAGACCAAACTTCTGAGTTCATCCACTGAAAGCTCCGAACCCTTAATGTAAGCAGGGGCCAGCTGTGCACACTTGTAAAGTTGTTATAATCCTCCTTTGACCTATAAACAGGAAAATACATAATATAAAGCATCATGCTCACATCTACAAACAATACTGTCCATGTTGTCCTTGTAAGGCGATACGGTCCAAAGAGTGACTGCAGCTTCTCAACGGGCAGTTAAAACACTTTTAGTTCAACGTTGATGTAAATACAACATGCAACTTCATCCGATGAGCAGAGTCATTTAGATATGACAGTGTTTTCTATGTGTGATGTAATGTGTGTGTGTGTGTGTGTGTGTTATAATGGAGAGCAAAAATCAAGCACAACTTGTCAGGACTTTATTTGGAATCCGTGAACATTTTGAATCAGATGACCATCCCCACCATCTTGTAGAACCAGAACCAGAGATTATCCAGGAACCGGAAGCCGACAGGGACCGCCCATTCACAAGCCAAATCGGAAAGGAAAGATTTTAAAATATGGAGCAGGTCTGCTGAGTCTGAAATACTAAGAAAACAGTTATCTTCATTAGACACATCAATCAACCTAAAAGCCTGTGAAATATCACCTGCACCCAGATGCACCTGTGAAAACCCCTGTAACCAATCAGATCCCTTAGAAATCAGGATTCAGGTTTGCTTCATGGTATTATGTTACAGAATGATACAGTTAATATCTCATGACACCTTCAGTCTGATACTGTTGTGAGTAGATGAGGATTGAGGTGAAACACGTTGCTTTTGTGTTCATGGTCTTTATTCACAGCACGCTGCAAAGAATGGAGATAATAGTGTTGTAGGGTTTCAACAAAGAGGCCCTAGTTTCACAGTCAGTGTTTCAGCAACAGATTTAATCATCACATGGTCCTTTTGATTTATCTTGACAACCTTCAGGTTTGGATAATAATTCTCAGAGAGAATAGACACATTGTGAGCCTCTACTGTACAGCCGTGGCCAAAAGTTTTGAGAATGACACAAATATAAATTATCACAAAGTCTGCTGCCTCGGTTTTTATGATGGCAATTTGCATATACTCCAGAATGTTAAGGATATTGCTGCTAGTAAGATTGCACCTAAATCAACCATTTATCGGATCATCAAGAACTTCAAGGAGAGAGGTTCAGTTGTTGGGAAGAAGGCTTCAGGGCGCCCAACAAGTCCAGCTAACTCCAGGACGTCTCCTAAAGCTGATTTAGCTGCGGCATCGGGGCACCACCGGTGCAGAGCTTGCTCAGGAATGGCAGCAGGCAGGTGTGAGTGCATCTGCACGCACAGTGAGACGAAGAATTTTGGAGGATGGCCTGGTGTCAAGAAGAGCAGCAAAGAAGCCACTTCTCTCCAGGAACAACATCAGGGACAGACTGATGTTCTGCAGAAGGTACAGGGATAGGACTGCTGAGGACTGGGGTCAAGTCATTTTCTCTGATGAATCTCCTTTCCGATTGTTTGGGGCATCCGGAAAAAAGCTTGTCCGGAGAAGAAAAGGTGAGCGCTACCATCAGTCCTGTGTCATGCCAACAGTAAAGCACCCTGAGACCATTCATCATGTGTGGGGTTGCTTCTCAGCCAAGGGAGTGGGCTCACTCACAATGTAGCCTCAGAACACAGCCATGAATAAAGAAAGGTACCAAACATCCTCCGAGAGCAACTTCTCCCTACCATCCAAGAACAGTTTGGTGACGAACAATGACTTTTCCAGCATGATGGAGCACCTTGCCATAAGGCAAAAGTGATAACTAAAACAAAACATTGACATTTTTGGTCCATGGCCAGGAAACACCCCAGACCTTAATCCCATGGAGAACTTGTGGTCAATCCTCAAGAGGCGGGTGGACAAACAAAAACCCACAAATTCTGACAAACTCCAAGCATTGATTATGCAAGAATGGGCTGCTGTCGGTCAGGATGTGGTCCAGAAGTGAATTGACAGCATGCCAGGGCAAATTGCAGAGGCCTTGAAAAAAAAGGGTCAACTCTGCAAATATTGACTCTTTGCATAAACTTAATATAATTGTCAATAAAAGCCTTTGACACTTATGAAATGCTTGTAATTATACTTCAGTAACCATAGTATCAGACAAAAAGATCTAAAAACACTGAAGCAGCAAACTTTGTGAAACCAATACTTGTGTCATTCTCAGAACCTTTGTCCGGCTGTAAAAGCATGAAAACAAGATGCATCCAGAACCGCCGACTACACAAATATTCGTGCTTCTACTTTACATGTGTGCTGTTCTGTCCGCTCAGTGTTCTGTCATCGTGATGTTTTCATTGTGACCTACAGACCTGCAGATGAATATGTTTAATATTGCAGGACACAAATGATCACAAATAAAGCAAGAAGATACGGAGGATGCTATGAATATTTAAATACAGAAAATGCACTAAAATGAATATAAACGGATGGTTTCTTGTGTCATCATAATACACAAAATAAATGAGCTTGTTTCTTTTGTATATTTTGTATTTGAGCCAGGTGGGAACTGAAGAGATTTAATATAATAAGAGTTCAGTTCTACCAGTTTTACAAAAATAAATTGTATTAAAAGGGCCGCTCACTTTGTTGTTGTCATCATGAGCAGATAGAGAAATCAATCCGCTAAAGTCATGTCTGAGAATGTGTTTAATAGCTGATGAATATCACTCCTTCAAAGTCAAATTATAGTTTAATATCTATTGCTTAAAATTTGACTGTTTTCAGGAAAATAAATAAATACAACAATCACAATAAAGATGGAGATACAGTTGCTGGAAATATATAACTGATTCTTTGAATACAAATGTGAAAAAAACTAACTTTTTCACAAACTTACTGTTGCATAATTAAACATACATGTCTCATAATAATTCACAACATAAGGACCCTGAGGATGCATGTAAAGCAGCTGCAGGCCTGTAGCAGTGTGATGGTGATAGTATCTGGTCAGTCACCCATCATTGACTGTCCTCAGATCTGCTGTGAGCCTGACACGAGTTAAGAGACATTGTTTGACTTCATTTCCCTTTTATACACTTTGTTTTCACATGAGCGAACCCGCAGCAACTCCCAGAGAGGACCCGGCAATGTTTGCTTGTTCTCTCTGTGTGAGCAACTCTCAGCGTCAGGGGTGGACGTGATATTTCAAACAGCACATCAGTGCGTTTATGTATTGAGTGCCCGGAAATTTTTCCAAATAAACACAGCTTGATTCGACCTGGGTGGGCAGACTTATCAAGCGACTAATTCTATAAACAGATGAGGGAATAACCCGGCACCTCATTGGCTGTTGGACGGAGAGGTGGGGTGGGGTGGGGGGGTGCACGAGGGAGTTTCAGCGCAATGAAATTTTAATTAATGTGGGTGGGCTCAGAACACCACCGACTGTTTATGATGGCCAATTTATTTCCCAGTGCAAAGTCAACATAACACAGCAAACGTACAACAATTATTAACATTTCCAGGGGCCCTCATGAGGCTGGGGAGTCAGTCAGTGGTGGAGAGGAGCTCCGGGAGCAGGCTCAACTTTCCCCGGGACACACTGCAGCTTCCCCGGCGTAATGACTCTCTACCACGGCCGTCTGCCGCCTCTCGGAATGCCGCACTCGGCTCTGAGCCTCTCCGGTACCCCGCTCATCTACCTGTACGGAGGGGACAGCCGAGGGGTCGTGCCCGCCACTTTGAGCTTCGTGCCGGCCCGCGAGGAGCCTCCGCAGAAGCCGCCCTACAGCTACATTGCGCTCATCGCCATGGCCATCAAGAGCGCACCGGAGCAGCGCGCGACGCTCAGCGGAATCTACCAGTTCATCATGGACCGGTTCCCCTTCTATCACGACAACAAGCAGGGCTGGCAGAACTCCATCCGCCACAACCTGTCCCTGAATGACTGCTTCATCAAGGTGCCTAGAGAGAAGGGCCGTCCTGGCAAAGGCAGCTACTGGACGCTGGACACCAAGTGTCTGGACATGTTCGAGAACGGCAACTACCGTCGGAGGAAGAGGAAGGCGAAGAGCCAGCAGGAGGCTCTGGACTCCAAAGTCGGAGGACACAAGCGCTCTAAGGGCCCGGGCCCATCCAGGGACCCTCAATCCGCTCTGAGACATCAGACCGGCTCGGGTGTAGAGGCACCAGCGAGGCAGGGCGCGGAGGCGGTGGAGACACAACCTGACACAAAAGCGGTTCTTGTCGAGTTTAACCACGCGGAGCAGACGCATAATCCTCCCAGACCTAAAGTGTCCTTCAACCAGGGTACGCTTGCGTCCACCGGGAGGAGGCTTGACGCCCCCCAACCTGAGACATGTCCGGTTCCGAGACACGCTCCGCTCTGGATAGACCCTGTGCATGTCCCAGGCGCGTCCCTCCACCGGGAGCCAGAGGAGAGACGGTCAGCGTTCAGCGGAAGAGACAAGGAAAGAGGTCCGCTCTGCGCCGTCAGTTTCAGTTGCGCGGGGAACACTAACTTGGCTGCGCTCGCGCAGGACAGGCCGAAAGGACACGCGCCGAGCAGGGACAAATCAAAAGGTTTTAGCATCGAGAGCATCTTATCGAGGAGCGAAGACGAAATGCGCAGCAGCATCCTCGGGTTGTCTGCGGAGACATGCGCAGAGCGCAGTCCGTCCGTGGTCCTCGGCGCACGGCCGCATCAGTTGTACCAGATGGGATTTCCTCTCTGCCCTTACCTGTCTCTCACCTGCCCCGACAACGTGCTGCATTTTAAATGAGTACAGCTCAGACTTTCATGTATTTCACTCACGGATGGAAGTGTAAACTCTGTAATTAGCTTTGCATGATGAGACAGCTTACTGCTCTTCTGCTCTTTTCAGGATCCCGATCATCCTCATCATCTGCAGCAATGACAAAGAGCAGCAGCGACGCTTTTACATTCTGTTTTACGCATGCGTAATTGTCAGTAGTTATTGTTTGTGGTAATTATTCAAAAACTGTTGCTCCCTACAGTTTATGGCTCAATGCTTGATACAACATGTAAAGTGTATGAGGGTCATGTACACAGTGTGTCTCTTTATGATGAATCAGTGAACGTCATGCTGAGCCTGCAGCCTGCAGCAACTCTGCATATCAATATGAGAACAACGTTAAGTGCTCTGTAATGTAACCAAATGATGTTCCACATTCCACTCTGCTCTGAATGCCATGTGCAAAAATAAAGCTTAGTTTGGTCAGAAAACAACAGAATGATTTATTTAAAACCAAGAATTCAGTTGGAAGATTGTTTGGATGCAATGTCACTGTTTAGTGATTAAAGGTTGTTTTTTTAAACATCCTGTATCTTCTCTTTAGAACTCTGTAAGGCGTATGATGCGTATTGAGGATTGGCAGACTGAGCCTTGTTCAGTGCATAAGATTTATTAAAATATATTATTTATCCAAAGTGCTTGGATAAAGATATCCTGAGTACTTCCTGATATTAATAATATTTGATTTGCCAGCAGTTGTATCAACTTTAAATGAATAGTAAGAAACATTATCAAGGAAACAAAAACAAAGATTACATTAAAAATTCAATTAACTGAACTTCAAAAACTGACGACCCCTGAAGAACATAGGACCAGAAGTGTTGACTCGTGATGAATCCGCTGTGAAGGAGAGTTTACTGTGTTCTGGTCTAAAGACGTGATGAGCAGTTTGATCCGGTCCGCTGAGCTCACATGATGGTTTATGAAGCCGTGGTTTCCTGTCATCACTCAGACAAACAGAGAACTGTTGATGAGCTGAACTGTTGTTCATTGAAATCAGTGATGGATTTTGTGATTTTTATTTTGTGACAACATTCAGATATCACTATTTCTCTTTGTGTTGAACAGACCTCACTATGTTTACATCCTCATATTAGGGTTAATAATGGTGATACATAACAATGCATGACATATTTGTGTGAAGATAAGACAGGATAAAATAAGATTGGCCTTTATTAATCTACAGAGATGCTTTCATGTGTTGCAGCAGCACAAGACAGAAATAGGTACTGATACACAGAGAGGACAATAACATATTATTATGTTATAGAATGAAATAAGAGCTCTATAGAGCTTATATAAGAGAAGAAAGTACACAAGAGGAATGAAAGACAAAGTTACATGTGAGTGACACCTTATACGTTGTCTGTATTAATACAGCAAAATAGAAATATAATATTACCATACGATGTGGTAACACAGGCATTATAACATCATGTATGTGATATATATATATGTTATATATAATACATTATCAGGTTTGACATGATGTCAATCAATTCAACAGTGAACATGTAATCATATCTATCATATATAAATACATCATTCTAATACCATGCTGTTCATGTTGAAGGTGGCAGCTTTGAAATAAGACACAGTTTAACAGTTCTTTAGGATTGTTCATGTAGTCAATTTGAAAAAACATCTTCACTCAAGGTCCACTTATTGGTTCATTGAGGACCTCATGGTGCTCCTCACAGACGGAGGTACCTTGAGCTCTGTCTGTGAGGTATAAGATGAGGTTCACCAGACTGCTGCTCCAGCCTCAACAATCAGTGACGTCGTTCTCATTACATTCACCTGAAACTTGAGAACGAGTGTCTGTGAGCTGTGTGTTGTAGACTGACACCTGCATGAAGTCAGAGCGCTGACAGCATCGATACAAACAAGACGGGCGGCCATGTCTAAAGATAGGCCTGTGGCTTCGACACACGTCGTCTGAAAGAAGCCGGAGCTGCAAATCAGGAATGTTTGTTAAAAATAAATAAACTTCCCCACATTTGAGGGGGGGAACTTGCAATCACAAGCATTTCCTGTGTATAGGATTCTTTCATAAATAAAACCTGATGAAAAGCTCTGAGGAGAGAGAATGGAGGAGAGGAATCAGTTTAACTCAACGCTTTGTCTCTTTGGGATTTTCATATTAACACATAATGCTCCGATGGCTCTTCATCCTCCAGTGATCTGTGAAGTCCTCGAAAAGCAAAGTGGATTAATCTGTGTTGGTTATCTGATGCTCCCTGTAAGTGTTTGATCAGTAAAAGATCCTCGGCAAAAGAAGCTCGGCCCCGAGCTTCGGCGCCTCTGAACCCTCTCGCGGGGACACAGAGCTGGTTTTTAATGCTTTTGCTCTGAGCACACATCTGCTGGATCGGGTGGGACGACGCAGAAAAACATCTGTTTCTTCTAAATGCAGTTTCTCATAATGTTTGCTTTGAGGCATCCTCCTCTAATCTTCAGCTGCTATTTGCCCCAAATATATTTACTCTTCTGTTTAAAACAGGCCTGTTTAGATGATCAAACTCATTTATATACACTTCTTTGTTTTTCTTCCACTTCAAAAAGAAAGATGTACGTTCAATTTGAAAACTCCATCAGATTAGAATATGTTGCTTTATTCTCTTAAATCAGGTTTCTTTCTTTACTTCAGGATTTTTCTTTCTTTACTTCAGGATTTTTCTTACTTCTCAAAATGAAAGCTTTTGACTTGATGTCAACAGTAGCTTGGAAACAGCGCAACACAGTCTCACGGCAGTTTGTGAAATAGTCACAGAATGCAATCTATTGGTTTCATGTACCAATTGTCCGTTTTTTTCAGGTTGAACACATTTTTTGCGTGAGTAGATTACATACAAAATCAATGCAAAGACACGAATATCACGAATAAGACGAATAACATGAATAACACAAATCACACAAATGAGACAAATGACACGAATAACGCGAATGACGAGAATAACGCAAATAACGCGAATAACACGAATGAGACGAATAACGCGAATAACGCAAATAACACGAAATTCGCCCCATTCGCGCAAAAACGCGTGTGAAGTCTTGTGGAGGGAACTAACAAAACATGAATTCAGACTTTTTACAGATCGGCATCAACATGTAGCTATTTCGGCGTCCCTTTTATCCGTTTATTGCAATTAACAGCAAAATTAGTTTATTTTGGGTTCATAAAGCTGTAAACCAGCCGACGTGTGGCTTGCTGGATACAGTGAAAACACCTCCGGATTATTTTATGAACCCAGACAAGACAGTGTTTAGTTTCCCGGGATATTTGGGACCCACAACAAGTACTAAGCAGGAATAGTGGTTTCTTCCATGGCAAATGAACCCGCGGGTAACGCAACGCAAAATTTGGCTTTGCATTTGGTGTGAACGTACCTTTAGTCAGGTTAAGGTAGAACATCATGGTTCAGGCAACAACACCATCAACAGTTTGGTTCAGGCCGTTTGGAAAACCACCATAAAACTACAATGCCATGTCGAACACCAGTCTTCTGGACAAAAGGCATTTCGTGTCTATTTCCCAAACTGCCATGATACTGGGCTGAATAGTAAGATAAAGATGAGTTACCTTGAGCTAAGATTATAATAATGGCTTTAAAGCTTCAGCAAATTCAGTTATCTCAACTTCTAATGCAGTCTTTAACTCTTGAAGTGTTTTGTTCTTTTCAGATTGAAAAACTGTTTTTGTGCCACCTGTTGTCACATTAACCATTATTAAAGCTATTAGTCCAACTTATAAACCTTTGAGAAAGGGTGTCTTATCAGGAAGCGTTTCTTCCGTTCCCTCCTCAGCCATCACTGCTGAAATCCAGAATCCAGCTCCTCTGTTCAATCCAAAACAAGCCAGAAACAGAAAACGCATCACTTCCTGTTTGACAGAGGATTCTTAAAGACCCACCAGACCTTGTGTGTGTGGGTGTTTAGAACATCAGATGTGAAAGCTTTCATCAGGTTGAATCACTGTTCTGTTGTAGTAATCAGTCACAGAGAGAAGCAAAATGGACGAGTATTTATATGAAGAGGCTGTGGATTATGACTCAGAACTACATTTTGTTTCCAGACTGGCTGAGGAAGAAGTCCACGCTGATGCAGAAATGTTCAGCACTTCACACAATAGTGTTAAAAAGAGTGTAAACGATCGGTCAGTGTTTTTATTTCTTTATTTTCTGTTCAGAACAAATTTCCACAATTTGATGTGTAAGCGAAATATTTGTATTACCAACTAAGCCCTATTATTCTCATGAAAAACATTACAGAAAAGATATAGTTTAAGTCTTGTCTAGTCTAAATGTCTTACACAACTACACAATGAGTGGGTCAATGTTTGGTTGGCTTGAGTTGTTTTTCTGTGTGAAATAAAGGGAAAAGCTGTTTAAAACCTGTCATGTACACAACTGCCCTGTAACATGAGTATAATGTGATATCTCATTAGAAAGCTACGGTTCTTGTAATTCGATTTATGCAATCAGATCTCACCTCTGTGTCTCTAGGTAAGAACAGAGGCAGAGGCCTGCAGACTCACAAGTGCATCCATGTGCAGTTTAAGTGAATGGGGACGATGTTGTTGATTGTCATAGTGTTCAACCAATCAGATCTTTAGTTTGACATGTTGGGCGTATTCTTTGACATATCAGAGCCTGCTCGCAGGCCTATAATGACGTCAGCATTATGTGCAGCTCAGCGTCTGCCGCGAGGTGCAGAGTGTGCTGTGATTGGTCAGTGGGCGAGCACGTGACTATCGTGAACCGAAGCTTAACAGCAGAGGCATGTCGGGTAGTGAATCACGTGATGCAGCTCAGCCAATCAAATATGGGCATTCTGACTGAGTGAGATGTAGCACACACCATGACACAGGAGACTGAGACGAGGAAAGACATTGCAGAGCAGTATGTTCAATGTTCAAATTGTGAAAGTAAAATCATGAGATGATCTCTTTGGGCCGTGACTTGTCATTAAGGAGTGATGGTGGGTCCCACAGCCAGACCAGCTGAGAACCACTGTCCTCCATGAGTGCAGAAAATATTATGTTTTCCTGAATATAAGCTTCTGCGTTTTCCAGATACTCTAGTACTATTCAAACGTGTTGCAGGTCTCGTACTGAATGTTACGTACATTTAATATGTACATAGTTACAGCCTTAGAAACTAATAACTGTGGTGCCATCATGTGGTCATAAGGTGGTATTTCAGCTGCAGGACAACAGTGAAGGCCTAGGTATAAAATGCACGGCCCGCCACTGGTGTAAAATATTCATTTTCTGTCGTATTGTTATCAAATTTGAACTTGTACTAGGTACTATGACTTCATGCTATGGTACCATTGTGTTTTCCAGCTAATAAGTCCCAGCCTTAGTTATCTGCAGGCATCTGTTTGCCGAAAAAAATCCAGGCGGAAATAAAAACCTTCTGTTTCAGTGTGTTGTAGCTTCATTAGCTCAATGCTAGTAGCACTTACAGTGAT